CAAAATGACCCATGTATAAATAAATGCAAATGGTTGCATTTTAGGTCAAGTTGTTCATTGTTCACTCAAAAGAAAAACATAAGCTCTCTCTTAGGTTTAGCCACCCTTTCTTTCTCTCAAGGTGGTGTTAAAGTGTGGAGGGTTCATAGTTTTGAATCTTGGCTTCATCAAACCTAAGCTTTAAGGAGAAGGTATAATCTTAATTTATGCTTTATTTAAAGTTTTGAATCCTATAATCCATATCTTAGCTTGTATGTCTTGTTTACATGCTTTCCATCTTTCCGCCACCTCTTCATGGTTTTTCACATCTAACTCAGTCGGCTCTTGTCCACTGGGAACAGGAACGAATCAGCCAACTTGCTCATGGAAGTCGCATCTAAGGAAGTTGATGCAGTGGCTGGGATATTGAAAGTTAGCATCTCACTCTCCTCATCCAAGACTACTGTCTTGGACGACCTGACCCCAATCACAGTAGGCTGACTGGGTGGAGTCACAACCACATCCTCTCCTCTTTAGTCGAAGAGTGTTTTTTTCTCTTTTCACGACCCCATGCGATGGATTCTCTTGTACTCAGGATGGTTAACTTCTTTATAAGTCCTTATGCAATCATAAATTCCTTAACAATTAGTGAGTTCAAGCTCGACTTACCAAACAAAACATGATTGTAGTACCGAATGAGCAGCACGCTCCATGTTTGTTTCAACCAGAGGAAGGGGATACCTCGTTGACCACCCTGACTCTAGCCCACAAATGACTAGCCCTAAAATTGGCCTCCTCTAACACCACTCGCCAATCTCTTTGCTCCTTGGGAATAACAAGAACCTCTCTAGTCGGCACATCCAAGTCGTCCCTACTCTGTCCTGCCTAATTGAAGTTAAGATCTGCAGAGGAAAAACAAAATAAGACTTTAGTAATCAAAGCATAAAGTCAAGAACAAGTTTCTCACCAGTCACTCTCCAAGTATCTGGGATCTCGCCCTGGCCCCTCTCTCCAAAGACTACTTCGCCCCTCAAGTAGAAAAAACACTCCTTCTAGTTTCTGTCACTCGATCAAAGATCGGTCACAACATGGGTCCGGTCGTGTCTGAGAGTGATCGCGTATCTACCCTTGTCCTTGTCACTCTCCTTTAGGAAATAGGAGTACAACAACTCATGCAACATTTGAAGCCATCAATAGCCTCCATCCTTTTGGCATGATTTGAGTCGGCACGATCAAAAAGTGGTTAAACACCTCCTAGACGAGACGAGGTATCGAAAGTCTCAGCCCATAACAGAACTACTTCTCAAAAACACTCACCCAACCTTTTGCCTCCCAGTCGACCCTCTCGTACGACTTAGGCACCCTACTCTTAACAGAGTCAAGAATGTGATACATCATCCTGATCTGCCATACATTATTCTTTTTCAGCAAGGGTGGATAGTCCACATTCAATATCTCGCTACAGGGTCGACTCGGCTCGTCTTTGGAACCACCATTAGTAGAGGGCAAATCTTCTGAACCATCAGATTCATCGGAGTCTTCTCCACTCGTCCCTTGCCCATCTAAACTATCTTCACTAGAAGTGGCACTACTCGGCCTGGGAGCAGCCACACTCACTCCCCTCGGTATGCCAATAGGAATTTCTCCACCCTCTGGCATTATTACCATCATTGGGACTCTCTCATACTCATTTTCATCCTCCATACTTGCCCTACTTAGCTAGCCCAACTCTGACTATGATATCAAATATTCAACAACTCCTTATTCCGCTTGACCCCAGTGACCGAGTGATTGCCCACGATAAAGACCAAAAACCTTAGTCAAACAGTCCAACCACTCTGCCCGATCAGGACGATCGACTAACAAGACTTATAAGTTCTATTTCAACTTCAGAACTAGCCAATCGCCTCAATCGACCGAGTGCCCGAAATTTGAACCTGTGGGTTAATTCCTCTCAAACACATTCGACCTGGTCAGGACGACCAAGTGGCCACACCTAAAACTCCTAACTCACGATCTGTTCCACCTTACTCGCTCTGGATGACTGAATGCCTTAGCCCCCAATTGTCCTAATATGTACCCTTATTCTATCACTGCACTCAACTCAGTTAGATAGACCGAGATGAGTCGAATGAGAGTACTCCATAAACTGACTTCATCTTCTATCCTCCCTAAAACCAGAGAACCTAGAATTTTCAAACGTATACCAAAATACTTTGCAAATCCAAAATCTCAAATCAAACACTAAAACAAACCACACCAAATTGATCCTAGCACACAAAATCTCCTAAACACCAAACTAAAAAACCAAATCACCACCGATTCTACCGAGTTCAAACTAGACAACGTTACGCCTCTTTTCTTCAAACTCTCCTAAAAAATCTACCAAACCTCGGCTAAACCTCTTCAAAAACACCAGAAAACACAAAGCAAGGCTAAAAAGAAACAAAAAACTGTAGATTACAGCAATGTTTACCGTGAAAATGGCCGAAATCTTCAAAGTCTTTTCGCTGTTGCAGAAAAAAGTAGAAATCAAGGAGAAAACGCGAAGAAAGAGAAAAGAAAATGAAATGGAATAGGGAATGAATAGTCACCTCAATAGCTTTGTTGACAAAGCAGACAAAGCTATTGATGCAATCATGAAGATGCTAACCATTCGCTCTGCTCACCCGACCAAATGGAGTGATCATCAGACATACGAACTATTTAACCTCAGCACTCCGACCTCATGACCAGTGTCGCCAAGTCAAAACACATCCCTTCTACCCTCTCGGTCAACCCGCCCAAGTGAAGTGGCCATGAAGAAATAAGTAGCTTCTCCCCACTAGCTTGGAAGTGTGCATACACCAACTCACTTGAATTCGATCGATCAACCAAAGGCACCTCTACCAGAATAATCCTAATGCATCCCCACTCGGTTCGATCCACCGAGTAGGGCACACCTTCAGGATATCACATCCTCTCACTCGGTTTGATGCACCAAGTGAGGACACCTTCATGAGATTTTCACTACATCCTCTCACTCGATTCGATGCACCGAGTGAGGACACCTTCACAGGTATTCGCCACATCCCCTCACTCGATTCGATGCATCGAGTGAGGTCTCCATGGTCGATCACACCTTTTCACTTGGTTAGATGCGTCGAGTGAGGACATATTTGCGTTTCTTATATTCACTCATCCACTCGGTTTGGTACACCGAGTGTGTCACCTACGTGAGACGAGTTTTACTTCTCAGTTCCACAGACCGGGTGGCAGCACCTTCACATACTCAACCAGTCGGTGACGAAGGATGACTGAACACACCTTCTTGCAACATTGGGCAAACTGTTAAGGCCAAAAAAATGTCCTCGGCCTCAATGGGCCCAAAGATAAAGACACCTTTAACAGAGCTTAGAGCCATGGCCCAATTTCGATTGGGCCCACCGTGGGATCCACGTATTGGGTTCGCTTATTACACCTGCTAGGTTGCTTAATCAATATGGCCCCAATTTGCTTAGGCCTCACCATCAGTTCATCTGGCCCATGCCATTGATCCAAGATCACCTACTAGACCTAGGGTTTACTTAGACCCCAAGGTTGCCTACTTCCTATTTCGGTACTATCTTGATTCTTTCAAAGAGATCCATCATTATCCTAATTCGTCTAAGATCTGAATCTTATATCGAATAAGACTCCCTCTCCTATTAAGGCAAGGGAATCAAAGGTTTTCCTATTCACTAAACTCAATGCCAAGGACTCATAATCCTACTAAGACCAAAGATCCTACAACTGTTATATAAACAGAAGCCAGCCCTCTCACAATTCTTTCAGCATTACACCTTCAAACCCCCCAGTTCTCACCCTTAAGAGCTTTACATCATTGTTGTAGTTCTAGTCTTTGACTATACTTTCGGTAACCCTCTCTTTCCCTTACCCTTACTAAATTAGCCTCATTCAGCCTTGCTGACTTGAGCGTTGGAGTGCCTACGGCAAACACCACCTTGGTGTTTTCCGTTTGCTTCACACTTGTTTCTTTGTGTGTGCAGGTGTAACAGATCACTTGTGGCCTCAACCTCACGGGATCATACCCCCTATTCCGTAACCATATATTTTACAGTCTACAAAGATACGATCCTAGTTTCCGTGTGTTTGACCTTTTTTGTAGTGAGCACCCGTTGGTTTAAAAAATATCACCAATTCAACCTTCAAATTTATCAACAGTTTCATCAATGTAACCTGTAAAAAATATATTAACCTCTCAACATTGTTGACACAATTTGGTAAAAACGTCATCCTTCAAACTTAAATAGAATAACCCCATCGAAATTGTGAATTAGGATCCCATTTCTGAAACCAACAAGGTGCTCACTCAAAATACGCTAAACACACGGGTTTAGAGTCACATTTTTGAAGCTAGGAGTGTTCAATAAGAAAGCTAAACACATAAGTTTACGGTAAACAACTTTTTCCCACTCAAATAATGGCTTAATGACACTTTCCCACCACAAAATTTTAAAATACTAATTTAGTACCCAAATTTATATTCTGTTTTCGAATTCGGCATCTTTATTCTTTACGACCCCACACTACTACTATTCTCTTCCCTAATCATAGCTCACCAAAACCCCTCAAACCCTACTCCCACCAACCTTGCCAATTGCCGGCAATTGAGTGATTAGGGTTTATACAACTGTCCCTCCCAAGTCAAATTTCGATCAATCCCAATCACTAAAATCCAACATTCCACCACCAAAAGACTCATCAGTGTTCTTTCTTCAAAAGCCTTAATAATTTGGACAGAGTTTACTCTTTATTCGTTGCCAAAATTTAAATTTAGGTAGTAAAGTGACATTTTAAAGTCTATGGATGGGAAAATTTATTTAGCCATCATTTGGGTAGAAAAAAGTTGTTAACTCTAAGTTTGCCATTTAAAAAAAAAAAAAAAAAAAAAAAACTATAGCAAAACCCTTAAAATAATTTTACAAGATTTACCCAATTTTTTCTTTTTTTTTCAATTTCGCCGTCCAAGCTTTCCACCTCCAACCTGTATGCCCGATACAATGATCATAATAAAATAAAATAAATCACCATCGTTATCTCTTCTCTAGGGTTCCTCCCTGGCTCTCTCTCTCTTCTGTAGACTCCTCCCTTCTATAATTTTGAGCCACCAACAAATCTCTCTTACCATGCCCCACTGTACACAATTAAACCTACAGATCTTCCTCTTCTCACCTCTAAAAACCCTAGATTTCAGATTTTTCACTGTCAAGGGTTTTTGGGTTTTTCCTATTTAGTTATTCTAGATTAAGATTCAGTTATTTTTATGGTTAGGGTTTTTTAATTTTCCCCTTTTTTTAAACTTTTGTTCTAGATTCGGTTTCGCAGTTGTGTTGGTTAGGGCTTTGTTACCATTGTTAGCTGATTTCTGTTTCGTTTTGGTTGGGGGGTAAGTGTAGATATAGTTAGATTAGATATGGAAGGGTTCGATAGCGGGAGTAGTATTGTGAAATCCCTCGGAGATAACTCTACAGGTTGGGTTCTTTAAGTTCTTTTTGAAATTTGAAATTGAAGTTTAAAGCTGTGTTTTGTTTGGTTGGATGAAAATTGAATGAATCTGGTGTGTTTTTGATGCAGCAGGTGCGGTATTTGATGCTTCGCATTATGCATTCTTTGGTAAAGATGTGCTTGAAGAAGTTGAATTGGGCGGATTAGAGGATGAAGACGATAGTAGTATGACTGCACCTCGCTTTGACGAAGAAGAGTTTCTTTTTGATAAAGAAGAGGTTAAATTCTTTTATTTTAATCAAATCTTTTTTTGCTTCGTAAATGTCTTGCATGATGTTTAGAAGTAGCAACATCTGGGGTCCTGAATGTATAGATCATCAAATGGCTTTGTGTTTAGGATTTAGTTATTAACGAACTTAGACGAGAAGCTCATATAAAATTTTGATGAAAAAATGTTCTGTCTTGGGTGCTTTAGTTAAATCATTTGAAATCAGTCTTAAATGTTGATTTATTTCCGTTATCGGTGTTTTTTTCTTCATAGTATTATTTTTCGTACCTTTTTTTCCTTCTTATCTGCAGAGATTTTAGGAGATTTTTTAGTTGTTGGTGAGATGGGTTGAAGTAATGTTTATGATAATTTATGCATTTGTGGGTTTCTTAAACTATTCAGAGTGAAGTCACCTTAAAAAAATTGCTGAATTGAGTAAATTCATTCCTTTATATGGTTCTTGCTTATAATGGAAGAGTTGCAGTTGGTGAGGTTTCTGAGATGAATAAGGATATTTGCATTTGGGATAGTAATAAGGATATTACTATGAAGAAAGTAAAATTGTCTGTCTCCTTTTTAGTTATTTGAATAGCTTTTGAAATACTTAGAGGCATTGTTCAAAATGTTACAGATTTGTTTATGAGTATTCAAATTCTAAAGTTTGTGCTGCAGCAACTAATCGCCCATTTGATTAATTGCAGGGTGAGGTTTTAAGATCTCTGTCTGATATTGACGATCTTGCTAGCACATTTTCGAAGGTTAGTTCACCATGCACCAGTTGCATTTTTGGTTGACAAGAGGAAAAAAAGTGTTCTTTTTTTTTTCCCCCCCCCCATTTTGGAGCACATTATTTATGGTTGGAACATAGTAATATAGGCGCTTGCTGAAAATGGCTCTTTTATTTTGAATTTCCTTCTCTCCACCAAGCATTCATTCATATATTGTCAAAAATCCAGTTCGTACCCTGTGGACCGTATTAATGCTGGGAATTAATAAATGATAGAAGACTTTTTGCCTTGATGTGAATTGGCTTTTGTTTCTTAACTCTGTCATCAATCACCATTAGCAAACGCTAGTTTGTCAGTCTATGTTCGTAATGTATGTGTTTTCTGGGGAAAGAATTACAAGACTCATTTCTTTGGTTGGCGGGATGGTCTTATTTTGTTTTAATGTATATAATAAAGAAACTGAATTCAGTAAAAGGAAATTGGGATTTGATGACATGTATCAAAAGAGTACACTTTCTCTATTCACCAACATTCATCTTTAGCTGTTTTTCTAATTGTGGCCTATTCCTGTTTTCATACATCAGTTAGTTATTGATCAGGCGGTATATCAACAGTCAAAGTTTCCTAATGTTAAATTATGATACAGTTGTCTTTTATATTCAAAGTTGCTTGTTTTGATGCAGCTTAACACAGTTGTTAGTGGACCAAGAATTCCTGGAGTAATTGGTGATCGGGGATCCAGAGAAAGTGAGTACAACTATTGCTTGTCTTATTTATATGAATATTTAAACAAGTTAGACCCTTCTTCAAACTCACTGTATTTACAGACTTGAATCTTTTTGCATATATTTATAGATTTTGTCAACAATATTTAAGTATATGAGCAAGTGTGCTGTAATATAACAGATTGCTGCGAGTTTTGAGAATTTTTTTTTATTCTGGTGAGTGTAATGCAAATTTGAGTTACAGCTCTGATGAATAGATTTCTCTCATATAAAGAAAATAAAAAGAAAGCAATATTTTTTTTCTCAACCTTTATTTTCTTTGTTTCAGTCTTTTGGCCGCCAACACATTCAGTCTTCTTGGCCTCCAAAACATACCGTCTTCTTGGCCTCCTAAGCATTGTACCCTCTACACTTAGTGCTCCTTGAGCAAACTACCTTATTGATATTCAATATGCAAAATTAACATATCTGAGAGTTTGTTTGACAATAAACCAGATTTTTCAAAACTGTCAATCAATTGTAAGTCAAGCTGCCAAGGTAGCTGTGCTTTTTGGGTTTAAGCCATGTTATATGTGTTTATCATTTTAATGGCATATATTCTTCTCACAGGGATGTTTAGAGATCACCAGCAAAGTAATGCTCATATCCTGTTAATTTAAATGAAATAAAAAAATTTAAATTGTGAATCCCATTAATTGTTGCAATTGCTGCTAATTTCTCTGGTTTTACAATTTTCTAAAAACAAGAGTGACAAAGGTTTTTCAAGTGAAATATAAAACCTAGATACCTTTGTGTCAAGAAATTCACTCGTATTAAATTCAATAATTCTTTCCATATTTTTTACTAATAAATTAAAAGTATTCAACTCCATATAATTATGATGGCCTACTGTGATGTTTACCTTCTAATGTCGTCATCCTCTTTCTGTCCCCATAATTGGCTAATGTCATAAGTAAACTGTAATTAATGTCTTTGAATATATTTGATTTTTAGGTCTTACGTCTTATTTATGGATTTTTTTGTCAACCAAATTTCATTTGATAAAGATAAAAGGTTTATCAGTGCATGCTTATCTATTTTACTTGTATTTGTTGCACGTTTTCATGTCTTGTCCTAGGATTGGAGTAAATGCTGCTGGTGTTACTTGTGGATTGGGTTGATGATTATGTGTTAGCTGGAATTTTGTTATTCTATCTTGTGTTTGTTTGTGTTCCTGTACTTTTGCATTACAACTCTTTCATTTATGACACTCTTAGAAACTAATCAGTATGTTGCTGAATTGTTAGTTTAGTTAAAGGAATTTCTCCACAATCAAGAATTTCTCCACAATCAGTTTGCTTGATTGTGGAGAAATTCCTTTACATGTAATTATGTAATTTATTTAGTATTTTAGTGAAATATATTTTCTCAGCTGAGCACAATTATGTATTCTCTGAGTCTGATGCTTTCTTTCAGGTTCATCTGCTGCTGAATGGGTGCAAGGTGACTGGTATGAGCAGCAGCAGATGCTTGACACTGAAGGCATGTCAGACGGGAAACGGTGGTCGTCACAGCCATATTCTTCTTCTCCTTACATAACAGAATCCAGGTCTTTGTACAGAACAGCTTCATACCCAGAGCAGCAACAGCAGCCTCTTTACAGAACATCTTCATATCCTGAGCAGCAACAGCAGATGCAACACCACCACCAACAACACTTCTCCAGTGAGCCAATTCTTGTGCCGAAGTCTTCTTACACTTCATATCCTCCTCCAGGTGGTAGATCTCAGCAGGCTTCACCAAACCACAATTCCAGCCACATGAATGTTTCATATGTTGCTGGGGGACCTCAGCTGTCATCTTCACCAAACCTCTCTCCCTTCTCAAACTCTCAACTTCAATTGCCTGGCTTACATCATGGATCACCTTATGGTGGAAACTTGCCTCAGTTTCCTCCTGGTCTGTCTGTTAATAGCCGACCTCCTAGCCAGTGGGTAAATCAGACTGGCATGTATCCTCGAGATCATTCAAGCCTTGTGAACAATATGTTGCCACAGCAGGCACCTCATCAGAATGGGTTGATGCCTCCCCAATTGATGCCACAATTACAGCCACCACAACATAGACTGCAGCATCCTGTTCAGCCATCATTTGGCCATTTACCAGGGATGCAGAATGAAGTATTTACTCATCTTTCTTCGTCCCCATCCTTGATGAACAAGTTTGAAGCCATGCTTGGTATGGCTGATCTTAGAGATCAAAGACCAAAATTTGCTCAGAAAGGTAGACCAAATCTACGCTATCCTCCTCAGGGCCCTGATACCAATGGATGGCCACAGTTTAGATCCAAGTATATGACGGTGGATGAAATCGAGGGTATTCTTAGAATGCAGCTGGCCGCAACGCACAGTAATGACCCATATGTTGATGATTACTACCACCAGGCTTGTCTTGCCAAAAAATCTGCTGGGGCAAAGCTGAGACATCATTTCTGCCCGACTAATTTGAGGGATCTTCCTCCTCGAGCACGTGCAAATAATGAGCCACACGCTTTTCTTCAGGTTGATGCTCTTGGGAGGGTTCCTTTCTCTTCAATTCGTAGGCCTCGCCCTCTGCTTGAAGTTGATTCTCCAAATTCATCTGGTGCTGGAAACACTGAGCAGAAAGTATCGGAGAAGCCCCTGGAGGAAGAACCTATGCTTGCAGCTCGGGTGACAATTGAAGATGGTATCTGCCTCCTACTTGATGTAGATGATATAGATCGTTTCCTCCAGTTCAATCAGGCCCCAGATGGTGGAGCGCAGTTAAGACGGAGAAGGCAGGCCTTGCTGGAAGGGTTGGCAGCGTCCCTTCAATTGCTTGATCAATTCCGCAGTAATGGCCACACAGTTGGGATTGCCCCAAAGGATGATCTTGTGTTCTTAAGATTAGTCTCTCTTCCCAAGGGCCGAAAACTCCTAGCAAGGTACCTTCAGCTTCTTTTTCCAGGTGGTGAGCTCATGAGAATAGTCTGCATGGCCATTTTTCGCCACTTAAGGTTTTTGTTTGGAGTCCTGCCAACAGACTCGGGTGCAGCAGATACTACAAATAACCTTGTGAGGGTTGTTATGTCATGTGTTCATGAAATGGATCTTCCTGCACTTAGTGCCTGCCTTCGAGCAGTGGTTTGTTCATCAGAGCAGCCCCCACTTCGTTCTCTTGGAAGCCCTGCTGGAGATGGGGCTTCCCGCATACTGAAGTCAGTTCTTGAGAGGGCAGCTAAACTTTTAAAAGATCCCCTCTCTGCTGGCAACTATGATATGAACAGTCGGTCAGAGTGGCAGGTCTCGTTTAATGAATTCTTTGACCTCCTTTGGAAGTATTCTGTAAATAAATTTGAAAGTATCATGCAGTCAGTTCGTCTACAAGTGTCACCAGATAGAGTAATTGATGCTGAGGAAGTTGCTAGAGCTATTAAGAGGGAAGTGCCAGTTGATCTCTTGGAGGCAAGTGGTCCTCACACTACCGATCACCAGAAACAGCTGTTGTATGAGTTTTCACAGCGGTCCTTGAAACCTTGAAGTAGTTGGATTTAGCAGTTATGAAGCGAGCAGTGGTGGTCACACAAATTCCTAGTTGATGCTGGGTTAGTTTGAAACATGAAGGTTTATGCGAGACAACTGAAGAAATTTTGAAAAAGAAAGGGGTGTGACAGATGACGGACAATAGTTGGGTATGAGTTCTCTTTTGCTTGACATAATGGCTGTGAACAAATGAACCAGAAAATGAAGTTGAAGCTCCCTGGGCATGTACTGTAAGATCAGTTAACTGCTAGTAATTTAGATATAAGTCTTACATTTTTATTTGTTTTTACTTTAAATTCTACGTTACTGCTTTGGCAAAAATAAGCAGATCCTGTGTATTATGTTGAAACTCTGCTGGGATTTATTTCCCTTTTTGGTCAGTCCTTCGTTTTTCGCTTTGGGATGTTATTTTGATGCTTTTGTTGTGGAATTCTTGATACAGAGATGTAGTGGGTTAGCTTGTACAGGATTCAGTGCAGAAGACCTTCCCAATTTCCTGTTATATTATTTTTCAAGGAGATGGGATGGATATGGTGTTTTGTCTCTGTATTTGAAGTCGGCTCTGTGCCTTTCTTCTCAGCAGTTAAATGGCTATAAAGTCATCCATATGCTGATTGTAGTGTTCTCAAAACAGATTATGAAGTTGCAATTTGAACTACTATAGCAAATTTATTACTCCACAATGAAATACTTTTCTTTTTTTATAATTCCTCATTTGTATGCTGTATAGTGTTTATGGATTTGCTGAAGGACATGCATACCGGTATTTTATTAGTACCATCTTTGCTTGGATATTAAGGGATCATCTATTGATACAACATGTTGGTTTTTCCTTTCATTTCCGTGGTCGATGGTAGTGGTGATTGGGTTCGAGTACGTGCCCTTTTTCCAAGGAATTGGAATTAGAATCGGAATCGGTCGGTTCCTCAATAGTTAGAATCGGAACCTAAAAAATAGTTTCCGGCTTGGAGTACTCGAGGAAAATTATGAATACCCTCTTGTATGCACAAAAATGTAGAGGTGGGCAAGGCTCGGGCTCAGTCAGTCTCGAGCCTAGGCCCTCAAGGATCGGGCCCAAATCTTGAAGGATTTGTCTTGGGTCCATGAGTTTTCTCAGGGCTAGATCGATCCTAGGATCGGTCATGGGCTCTATGGGCCTAGAAAATTTTATTTCAGCCTTCCAATTTTTTTTTTTTTTTTTATATATTTGGGGTTAAATAATATTTATGTAAGGGGTTTATGTAATTTTTTAGAGGGTGATTTGTAAATTTTTTAGTTAATTAGAGAATAAAATAAATGAATGATTTTAATTTAAAAAGAGAATTTAATTTTAGCTTGTAATGTGAAAATTTAATTTGAACTTAAACAATTAAATAAACATAAATGGATGGTTATAAATTTATATGGTTTTAATTTAAAGAGGTAGTTTAATTTTAACATAAATATAATATTCACAATGTGTAAATTTAATTTAAACTTAAACAATTAAATAAATAATAAATTTATTTTTATATAATTATCAATTTACGTCGTTGAAATTAATATCTTCGAAATCTGTGTTTTTGTAGAGGTCGAGTAGTTCGGGATCTTAACAATTTAATAAATAATAAATTTGTTTTTATATAATTATTAATTTACATTGTCGAAATTTATATTTTCGAAATCTGTGTTTTTATAGAGGTCGAGTAATTCGGGATCTTTAGGGTGGTATTGTAGTCTTTTGTCTCCATGAATCCAATCCCGTAAACATGTAATCAATTCAATCATCTTATTGGTTAAAGAACATCTTATGTCTTCAATAATGCAACCACTAATTGAGAATGTTGACTCTAATGCAATTGCGGAAACTGGTACACCTAAAATGTCACGTGCCATTTGAGCTATAATATGGAGTTGACTTGCATTTTGATTCCACCATTGAAACACATCCATTTCACGTTTCTCCTTCTTGATCATGTAAGACATGTCCATTTGTAGATACTGTTGTAGCTCATTTGGTCCATGTCTGTATGCACTAGAGTTGCTATATCCACCACCACCAGTACTAAGTTCCATATACTTTCCAGATGCTCGATCCTTGTTGATGAATGTCTTCATCCGCTTCCTACTAGCCGTCTCTGATGGGCGTTGCATTGTACCTATTCTGATAAAAAGAAAAAAGGCTTTTCAATTTTCTGTTAAATTCTATCAAATAAGAACTATAGTCATATTCTAAATGTTGATCTATCTTAGTAACTATACAATTAAATACGTTTAATCTAAATCTAAGATCTACAATAAGACCTAATCCATATAAGAATGGAATATCTAACCAATATTTTCTGTATTTTACTTCAATTTCTGAAACAATTGAACTTAATTCAGGATTATATCTATGTCTAGCAAAAGTTTTACAAATTTGAAGTAAAATATTTAACGCTAAATTAGTAGTAGAATAATAAATACCATTTAATGTATTAGTGAAATTATAACAAAATTTAAGAAATGAAAGAAAAATACTACAAACCGTCCGATCAGAATCATTGATGACTTCGTTCGGATAGTTCTTCCAATTGACGAAATCTGTAATTTGTCTTGCGATTGACATAGCTTTTTGCAACATCAAGTACGCGCAGTTCTAACGGATAGGCATGTTGCAACATAGCTTCTTTAGTTGAACCAACAACTCTTATTGGTGATAATATTTGACATACCCATTCCATCTTGTATTGCTATCGACAATGAATCCGATAGCCGTGTGCACCCTATTAATCCTTGCATGTATAGTTTCTAAACATGCTTTAACAATCAAATTGATGATGTAGCAAACACATCTATGGTGAAAAAATTTGCTTTCACCAAGCGGATCTAATTTCTTTTAAAATAAAGAAATTGTCGAGGTATTAGCAGCTGCATTATCATGTGTTAAAGCCACAACTTCCCAGTTAATAAATAATCTTACAAAACTTTAATAATTGTCCAATAAATAGTGTTAGCATTATGTTTAGCATATAATGGTTTACAACCTATCAATTTTTGTTGTAAACCCCAACTATGATCTAGGTAATGTATTGTAGCATTCAAAAACTCTGTTTTTGATCTAATAGCCAGGGGTGAGTGGTTTCGGGTACCCTCCATTTTTCGGGGGAACCGAAACCGGAACCGCACAGTGCAGGTTTTTCAATTCAAGGAACCGGAACCTAAAATGCAGGTTCTGGTTCCTTTCCGGGGTACCCTATAAAAAATCAATTACCCCCCTATTAGTTTAAAAAATGACAAAAATACCTTAAAAGTTTACAAATACACCCCTAACAAATTTTGATTATTCATTCATTTGTGTCCAATATAACTCATAACCTATAATCTCTAAGCAACACTTGAATTCAATCAATTCATCACAATTCACATACAATTCATCAATCAAAACCAAAACACAAACAATTATTCATCACAATTAATGTTATAATTAGCCAATTGGGTCTTTATAATATACTAAATATAATTTAGTAAATTTAATATTAAAATTAGTAATGTTATAATTAATTAAGTGATCATAATACAATGTAAATTGTTATGTTTAATTAATTAAGTAATATACTATTAATTATAATAAATATTATAATAATTAAATGTTAATCATTTAATTAGTATTGTAATATTGTTATAATAGAATGTTATAATAATTAAGTAATCATACCATAAATTATATGTAATGTTATAATTAATAAAATTCTAATCATTTAATTAAGTATTGTGTAAATTAGTAAATTACTAATGTTGATAATATAATGTCATAATCAATTAAGTAATCATTAATTATGTATGTTAATTAATTATATGATCATACAATAATAGTATAATGTAATATATAATAAATTAAGTAATCATACTATAAATCTATAATTTAATATATAATTAATTAAATTTCAAATCATTTAATTAATATACTAATGTTTATAATGGAATGTTATAATTGTTAAGTAATCATATTATAAATATATAAGGTAATGTTTAATAATTAAATTTTTAATCGTTTAATTAAGTAATGTAATAATATAGTAAATTACTAATATTATAATGTAATGTTATAAATCAAACTATTATGTAATCATTTAACTATGTATGCTATAATTAAGTAAGTGATTATAATATAATGTAATATAATAATGTTATAATTTAATGAGTAACTATTTAACTATAATGTAATGTTAATTAATGTTTATAGGGTAATGTATAATTAATTAAATTTATAATAATTTAATTAAGTATTGTACTAATGTTTATGTGTAAATTAGTAATTACTAATGTTTAAAACATAATATCATAATCATAATCAGTTAAATAATCATTTAATTATGTAATGTTATAATTAATTATGTGATATACTATAATGTAATGTTATAGTGAACTAAGTAATGAGATTATAGATCTTTAATGTTATAATATAATTAATTAAAATTTTAATTATTTAATTAAGTAATGTAATAAATAATAATATAGTAAATTACTAATGTTTATAATATGATGTTATAAATTTATAACTAATTAAGTAATCATTTAACTATGTATATAATAATTAAGTGATTATAATATAATGTAATATAATAGTTATAATTTAATTAAGTAAATTTACTATAATGTAATATTTAATTAATTAATTTCTAATCATTTAATTAAGTACATTTGTTTTATGTAATGTTATAATTAATGTATAATATAATGCCATAATCAATTAAATAATCATTAATTATGTAATGTTTAATTAATTATGTAATCAACATTATACTATAATGAAATAGTGAAATGTTACAATGAATTAAGTAATCATACTATAAGTCTTTAATATATATTATAATTATTTGTTTATAATAGATATTATAATTAATAAGTAATCATTTATTATAATGTAATGTTACAATTAATTACATAATTGTACTATAAATTTATAATGTAATGTTGTAATAATTAAATTTTAATCATTTAATTAAGTATTATGCTATGTTTATGTAGTAAATTAATAATTAGTAATATTTATAATTAATGTCATAATCAATTAAGTAATCATTTTTATTAGTAAGTTATAATTAATTATATAATCATATTTAATGTAATGTTATAGTGAATAACTATTAAGTAATTATACTATAATTTTAATGTAATATATAATTAATTAAATTTTAATCATTTAATAAGTTTATACTAATGTTTATAATAAAATGTTATAATTGACTAAGTAATTATATTATAATCTATAATGTAATGCTATAATTAATAAATTCTAATTATTTAATTAAGTAATATATTAAATGTTATAACTTATAAGTCAATTAATAAGTAGTAATCAAATAATGTAATGCTATAATCATTATACTAAATCAATTAAGTAATGTTATAAAATTATAATTAATTAAGTAATCATTTAACTATAATGTAATGTATAATTGATTAGTTTATGTAAACTAGTAATTAAATTTATTAATGTTTATCAATTATCATATATAATTAGTTAATTACTAATTTATTATAGATATCTTAGAACTTGATAATGAAGTAAATAACTAAATATATTATTACTCAACAAATATAGTATTTATTCAAAAATAATTCTTTTAATAACATTAAAATGTAAAACAACTTTATTGGATCATAATTCCAATTATTCACTTAATTAATCAAAACTTTAATATTAATGTATTATAATATATTAAAGCTTTTAATATGGT